AAAGCTGATTAACATTCCCTTAACTACTGCTATATAATCAGAGAAATATATTATTTTTTATAGACTAACTATAAAAAAATATCAAATATTGCCAAATTATATATATACTATATAACTAATACTCAAAATGAATTAAATTATATTATAAATATATTTAAAAAGCAAAATTTGAATAATAAAAATTATTCAAATTTAATTAAATATGATAATTATATATTTAATAAATATATTGAAGAATTCAATACTAATTAAGTTTCTGATATAATAATTTAGACAAAATTATACAATATGATTATAAAAATTTTGAGATTAATGAAATAATAGATTTGAATTCTTTTTCAAAAGAACAAATAGATAAAACAAATTATAATAATATTAAAAGGCCTAAAAAAAATAATTATGATATTAATAAAGTCATTAATACTGCTATGAATAATATAAAATAGAATATCTTTTATTTACTTTATTTGTATTGTTGTATAAAAATTTTTATTTACAATATATATATTTATAAACAAATTTATTTTATATTGTTATAGAATGTGTTAACATTATAGAACATATTAGAGATTTCATCTCCTTTAGATCCAGAAGATTATGATAATTGAAATGAGCTACAATACAAGACAACCTGACTATTGGTTAGCTAGATAATCAAGTTATATCTTTCATACCTTTTATATCTTTCATACCTTTTGTACCTTTTGTACTTTTTATACTTTTTGTACCTTTTATATCTTTTGTACCTTTTATACCTTTTATATCTTTCATACCTTTTGTACCTTTTATACCTTTTATATCTTTTATATCTTTTATACCTTTTGTACCTTTCATACCTTTTATACCTTTTGTATCTTTTATACCTTTTATACATTTAGTACTTTTTATCTTTTATATATGTTGTAAAAGCTATATAACCTCTAACTTTTACCTTTACTTGTACTGGAGGATTCATTCCCTGCAATATTCTAAAATATTAGAATTCTATAGGAATAGATACCTATAAATAACTTTGTATCTAGACATTGTATCATAAATAAATAAACATATCCTTGCACTAAAGTAAACCATGTCTCTATGCTTCTAATAAATATACTGAACCACCCTAGTAAAAAAACATTCCACTTCCACACTGCTTCATATCTCGCTCTGTTGTTTTAGAAATTCCTGTCACTGTGTGCTATGTTACAGGTAGTAAATTAAGAAGGCTATCCCACTTGTAACAATGTTTTATTATGCTTAAATAATTTTATTTAAATTTTAAAAATACTTTAATATTCAAAGTTATTATAATTGGAAGAAAGATGTTTTTTTAAAAGTATTTACATATTTCAAACCAAATATGAAAAGTGAGAGAATTTAGATAAATAATTTAAATTTGCTAGGCTATTTACCGTATTCCTCCGAAAATAAGCACTCCTCGGAGCAATTTTTATGGCCAAAACTCTCGCAATCTAGTGTACCATTCGAATCGACTTGTCAAAATGATTCGAATGGTACCAAATTATACAGATCCAATCACTAGATCACGAGAATTTTGGTTATAAAAATTGCTCCGAGAGTGCTTATTTTCGGAGAAATACGGTAATTATTATATGAGACTGATATGTAGCTTTAATATTTAAAATAATATAAGTTTTTTTTTGATTTTTAACGGCTATTTACCTTGTTAGTGTGTCAGAGGTGCGTTGAGTGTAACCCAGCAAAAAATAAATTTTATACAAACTTGGGTTACACTCAATGACTCCTGATGCACTAAAAAGATAAAGCAGCTGTTAAAACCTGTGCTGTACCTCGGTTAAAATTTAAGTATAAAAAAAAGCAGGACTATCTTTGGTAGCAAACAAGATACATTTATATTGGGAAGAATATATATTGAATATCGATATGTGCCCAATTCAAAATTAAAAAAATGAGACAAGCGAAAATATGAGGTCAAGATTGTCACCAAAAAATAAAATTTTGGCATATGAAAATATTTTCGGCGACCTAAATTATTTTCGGCAGCCAAAATTATTTAGGCATCTTAGTTTAGGCTGCCTAAACATTTTCGGCAAGCCAAAAATAATTTAGGCACCTATCTATAACTGTACATACATACATACATATTATGATTACGTTACATCGCTATATTTTATCATACACTATAGTAAATATTTTATCTTTTTATTAGATTACTTTCGTTATCAAACAACTTCTTAGCAATGTCTTTTGTTAAAGCGCTGTATGAGGTAGGATTATTACGAACGAAAATATATTTGCTTTATGAGTTAACGTTATTTTGATTGTTTAAATAACAATTTTATTTATGAACTTTACTAATAGAAGTCTCTTCATGTAGCTCATATATATGTAAGATATTATAGTACGGCCAATACTGATCATGGATATACAATACACTATTAATATTTTATAACTCACTATTCATCAAAACCGCATAAGGTATCGTATAAAAATTTAATATCAACCAATATACTATATAGAATATATTTTGATATAATAAAAAAATATACAAACGTTTAATCATTTATGATTTAAAATTAATATATTTAGTTAATATATATATAAAATATTTTAACTACTGTACTAATTAATAAACTATTAAATGATTTAAAGTCTAGTAAATTTCTAAATTTACACTAATGTACAGTATGAAACACGGTTATATTGTGAGATTTAACGAAAAAATTAAATTAAATTGAAGTTATAGAATATATTAAAGTTAATAGGTTGGGGTTAAAGTGTAGCTTATGCTAAAATTTCATGTATATTTTTTTTAGAACTAGAGATGATAAAAAACGTTTAACCTGTTTTTTAAAACTTTTTTTTATTGTTTTAAAACTTTGTTTAAAACATTGATGTCTGATGCTTAAATTTGGCAAATAGAAAATCTGGGCAGATTACGTTAATCTCCGAATTTTAAATATTGGCAAAAATTAATATAAGTTTTAAAAAAACATGATTAATACAGGTTTTGGATATCAATTTCGGACACCCCTGTCTAGTCTTAATACTTGTTAATTGATTTTTATTATTTGGGTGGGTTCATTCTTAATAAGGGTGTCCGAAATCGATAGCCAAACCTGCAAACCAATTTAGACTTTATTTGCTCTAAAATGCAGAATTATAACTTAAAAGAAAACAAAATTGCTTTCTTATTAACATTTTGCATTATGTAATTTTTTTAACGGTTTTATATATATATATATATATATATATATGTAATTCTTTTCTTTCTAGCTGCTGTCATCAAAAATGACAATATTATTTACCTTTGCCATTTTCTTTTTATTCATTATACAGAAGCTGCTTGGAGTGAAATAGTGTCCTATTACAAAACTAATTTAACAATTATACACAATAGAGATAGTGAAGTAATTTTTTCATATTAGTTTATTACGAGATTTTCTAAATTGGAAATAAATTTTTCTGATGTAGTTTTCGCGAATTTTCATCACGTTTTAAAAATTTCTTTGACTTCATTAGCATTTTTACTACAATATATAAGTAAATAAAATATTATTCATGCTTAATAAAGGGTAGTAGTTTCTCATTTTTTTCGAAAATCATTACAGTACATTTTAAATGCGAAATTTGCTTATCAACCTTTTATATTAGTTCTAACTTTTGTTGGTATTGATAAGTTTTTGCGATTTGGAGAACCGGAATCTTTAGCTAGACGTATAAGGAAATGTGACAATGTGGCTTCTAAAACTAGTTCAAATTTGTAATTTAGTGTATCAAATTTGCATAATCGTCATAAACAAATAATTGTATCATAAATTTTGACAATCGATTTTCACAATTAGGTGCTAATCGTATAGAGATACACAGTTTTGAAAATAACGGTAAAAAGTGGGTAAAGATTATAGATAAAATTGCTCCCCGGCATCTTTTATTAGCGCTCTGAAAAGGTTTAATCACTCGTTCCTTGTATTTTCGACCTTGCTTTTTTTTCTTGCTTCGTAAAAAATTTATAAGTTGATTGGTTAGCTTAAATAAGGACGGTTTGGTAATATTTGATAACGCAATTTTACATTATTTTTATATAGCTTTCAAAAGTTTTAATTATCAAACGGTGATCACCGATTATACAGCAATAAGGCTTGCAAAGGATGCAATTCTGCGCCATTTGGTAAATTGCTTAGTAAACAAAGAATACCGATTTACTTTATGTCTGTATTGGCGTTTAAAATTAAACAAAAAAAAAAAGCATGTTTACTATTTAAATAGGTACTTTAAATCCTAAATTATTAAAAGATTATTTTCATTGTGGTTAGTTTACTCATTTTTCTGAGTTCTTTTTGCTATCTCTTGATAGGGAAAGTATTATATTACAAAGAATTCGATTTACCTTTATGATCGTACAGACTAATCAGGTTCCTTGGTAAATCCATTGAGAAGGTGTTTGAGAATGCTCTCAGATATTGATTTCACATGGCCTAAAAACTAGGAAATTTTGAAATGTTACTCTAACATATAAGGCTTATAAACCTATTTTGGAAAAATAAATAGGTAAATTTGCAATTCTGATTGTTCTAGATATGTACGATAAATTTGGTTATATGATGAAATTTTTTTTCCATCGAAATTATTGTGCTGCCACGCAGTACATATGAATGACATTAATACCGTAAGGTCATTTTCAAGGCAAAGACCCCATATTTTTTTCGTGATATTTTGAAAAATGATGATTTCATTCGTGACAAAGCTATTAAGGCAAAAAGGTTCATCTAATTTGTCGGAGCACTGATGAACGAAATTTGGCAATTACTTAATACGTTAAACTACCATCGGAGATTAGAGAGCTTCCAAGGCCGCCGTTCTAATTCAATAATGTTTTAAAGGTAATTTTAATTTGCTGAACATTTAGTTCCGTACTTAGTATTACCTCAATATTAATGGTATAAGAGAAAAGTTATAAAAGAATTCAATTTTTTTAATTCTAACTCTTAAAGCTACACATTTTATTATCGTTATTAGTTAGCAAGAATCTCAAGATGCCATTAAACCGACTTAATGTATCATATGCGTGTGATAATTGTAAAAGTCGAAAATTGAAATGTGATCGTGTCGCATCCTCTACATCGATTACGAAATGCACTCAATGTAAAAAACGTAACCTAGAGTGCACTTACAATAAAGGAAAAGGGAAAAAACGTGGACCAAAACCTAAAAATAAACTGATTGATGACAACTCTATGATACATGTAGATGAAGATGAAATATTTCGTGGGTTATCTGCGGAAGAAATCAAATATTTTAACAGCACATATGCAAGGGAACATTTATTTCGAACATTGAAGGTACTCAGATCCTTCGACTCACAACCTTGTCCATCAAAGAATCTTGTTGGTCATCATTGCCATATAGGTTGTACCGTAAGGTATAATAATTTAAATTAGATACGATTCCAAATAATCATTAAACATTTATAAGCAGTATAAATAAGTTTCTTTTGACAATTTTGGTCGTATGATATTAAATTGATATTAAATCTTTATGTAAATTTCTTTATTCATATGTTTAATAAGCCCCTTCATGACATTTTTGCTCATATGAAATGAACATTTATGCAATTATACATCATTTCTTATGTTAAGTTGCTTTCTCGGTCGGTTTCTTTTGCATGGTTGTCTTTTCGTTGCAGTTCTTCTGTAGTTAACTGCGCTATTTTTGCGTGGCTATTTCGTAGCATTTCGTATGTTTATTTTTATTTTATTTTATAATGATTCTAATTGGTCCCTTCGTCATTTTTTGCGGAGGTTCTTCCATTGTTTAACACATTCTTTTATTTCGTCGTACTATGTTTTGGTCCTCTTATTGGTTCTTTCGTCGCATCTACGCTAATAGGTTTTATCATTTCATGTAGCTTCGTTGTTATTTTCGTGTAGCTTTTCATCATTTTGCGGTGATTCTATTGTCGTCTTCATATAATTCTCTCGATGATTTTGTAATTTTCGCGGCGGTTCTTTTTTTTTTTCGTAAATATAGTTTTTTATGTGAATAATAAAAATATTAAGTTGATCTTCGAATGTTTAATTTCCGAATTTCCGATTTATTATACCAAATTACAATTTATCGGTATGGTTTCTCTTTTAAAACGTTTTATGAGACACTTTACATGCATTGTACTTTAATGCTGCATAAGTGCCCAGTCGCGCGATGCGTAATAAATTTTATGCGAAGCACCATATTATTTTTATTTTGGGTTTCCCGGTCATTAATTCGGAAAACGAAATAAAAATTGATGCAATCTTATTTGAAAACTTATTTTAATCAAAATTAGATTTTCCGCATTTTAATTCTGAAACTTCTTAATAGAATAATTCAATTAAATCTAAAATAGGAATGTGCATAAATAACAATCTTTATATGGCTCTCCCGCTCGGCCTCTTTATAAATCTGATTCTTCTTTATATATATATATATATAATAAACGTTGCTGACAAATTTTTTATATAGCTTTCTGCCAGCTTCGCTTAGACTTTTTTCAAGCTCAATTTATATAATATTTATATTGTACCATTTTTTTCTACAGTATTTCATTTTACTGATACAGTGATTACGTATACATGTTATTTTTAAGAATCAAGTTCTAATCATGTTTCATAATTACATAGATATAATTTAAATTTAGAAATGATTGTCAAACTCCTTCGCTACGATTTTCTGTTATGGGCTTTGACGATCAGTGTTTATCAATTCATCTATCCGGTGAAAAATCCGAAAAGAAAAAAAAAACTAAAAAACAAAAAAACACGCAGAAGTACATTGATAAATTTAGGCAGAAAATTATTAAATAGAAAAGGCACAGCCTTTTTTCTTAATATTAATTTTCTATATAGATGTAAAAATAACATGAAATATGGAATATCAATAATTAATATCAACACGAATATGAAATAATATATCTATATCTATATATATATCTTATAAATGGGTCGATAAGATATTCCTTTTCTGAATTGCAAGGAAATTGAATGTAGATCTCATGTGCAAAAATAACACAAGCTACAAAAACTGTACTATTTAATCTAAACTTAGTAAAAAGATTGATGTAATCTAGTTAGTACGTGCATATAACTAAATATCTCTAAAATAAAGAGATAAAATAAGAAGTTTCGCTTTCGTATAAACGTCTGTCATACATTGAATGCATTGTCTTGTGGTCTCGTTGTTATAAGGTGGATAGGACCTAAACGATGTTCTCTTAGTGGATTAGACCCAAGATCCCATAACTGCAAAATTATACTACACTAGTCCAAATTAGTCTAAATGCATACAAAAAAAAAAAAAAAAAGAAATCATCACTCTGGAGTGGTTATTTTTCAATCAAGTTAGTTTCGGATCATTTTAATTGAAACACATTCAAAGTACAGAATCTATATTTGGTAACCATGATCTTCTATTAAAGCGAATTTAGAAATTCATGAATGAAGGAATTAAATCGCCGATGTCCGATGCATACCTATGACCTGTACATATAGATGTACATATACAAAAAGGTATACAGAAAAATCTTTATTAATAAAGCAATTCATACAAATTTCCATTTATTAAAAAACCTTATCGTGCATCTTGTAATTAATCTGCATTATCTTATCTTTTGTTTAATTAGATAACCTAAGTCATATACAAAGTTCTTTTTTTGGATTTTGCGATTAGATACGTAGAATAATTTTTCATTTTAGATTTATCAATTTTAAAAAATGGTGTATTTGACTTTTGTTATGAGATAGACACTGCATAACTGATTTACCTATTTTTCCGCGATAACAATAACAAAATGGACAAATTAGAATTTTAGTACGTTCATTTCCAGTTATGAAATAGATCTGTATTACAATTTTATTGATGAATGACTACCGTTTAGGTGTCCCAAACAAACATTTGACCGATAAACAAAATAAGCTGTTTTGTTTATAAAAATTAACCAGTGTAACGACTGATTTATGAAAGCTTTGATGCAATACAGTTTAATTCGCATTGTTATAATCTGTGCTCGGTTTTTAGTCACGTGATGTAGATCCATGCAGAAAATCATTCAACATACGTACCAA